ACTCGCTCGATTAAGGTTGAACAACTTAACAACTAACTTGTGGTTCGAGCAAGGACCGTTCGTTCGACCCGCCTCTTAATTCGGCCCCACGGGGTGCAGGCGGGCCCAGCGCTGTCCTTTAAAGCGAGATTTAGCGTCCCCCGAGCTATTTAAAGGCCAGTGCTACTGTACGTACCCCATCGTCTGTAACGGACTGAGCCCTTGTGCCGGGTCGCAGCCCCTACCCCGCCCCGCCTCCACAGACATTCCCGCGGGAGCGCAGGATCCACCGCTGCTCTGAAACCAACTCTGTCTCTCTCTGTGACCGACATACAGCCCAAGCTTTCGACGAAAAGGAAAGTGGAGCACCTGGGACAATAAACAGGGGGCAGCAGACAATCATCCACCGCCCTGCCGTCGCTCCTTCGGCGGGTGGGGCGATATGCTGATGCTGGGGGCGCGGCCGCCGCGGGAGGCGCGCGGGAGGGTCGGGGCTCGCGACCTAGATTCGTGTATTCGATGATGGTATGGACGCCGCCGAGACGAACGGAGCTCAGACGGTGGGCGAGAGAGACGCCCCCGTTTCTCGTTATCGCAATAACATAGCGGAAGAGCATGACGCCCCGAACGGTGGCGGCGGTGGCGGCGGGGGTGGCGGCAGGTACGCAGCGCACCGCGCAGCTTCATTATGTACTGCGACGCACGTCGGCGGGACGGGGCGGGGCCAGGCCGACCTCCCGGAGGTGGGAAATTAATAATTGCCGCCTGCAGCTAGCGGGGCGGCGGCTCAGTGCAGCTGGGGACAACAGGCGCACGGGCAATCGAGTCAGTCGGCGGCGCTCCTGCCGCTCCTACTGGACCGGCTGCCCTTGGCCCTAACACGCGCGGGGCGGGTCAGCGCGTCCGCGACCTTGACCTACACAGTCAGCCGCGCGCGGTGGCCGGACAGAGCTGCAGCAAGAACTGCCCAGCGCCTCCCCCGCTTCCCATTCGTCCCAATCACCCCCACCCCCCAGCCCGCTGCCACCCCATCGGGAGTGTTTAAACCCCGCGGGCCGCGTACAGGGCGGGGAGCGCGGCTATGAAATAGCGAACCGCAATCACAATATCCATGTGTCGCGCGCCCTTGAGTGGCGCGACAATCGGACTGATGATAAATCCCTATCTCCCTCTCCCCCCTCCGCCACACCGCGGCTGTGCGGTGTGCGTAAATTGCTCAACCGGCTCGGTAATATAGTTCGCTTGCTTCTCATCCCCAATTGACCCAGATACGGACTCCACTGCCGCCGATGCTGCTGCCGCCACGCCGCGCGCGCTCCCGGAGCTCAATAAACCAGCCGTGCGCCACCTTTGGATGCCGCTGATGCTGGGTCAGGAACGTCCTGTAACGACGCGGCGAGCGGGACTCGGTTATCGCATCATCCTCATTACCTCCGCAGCCGCCACTTCCTGGACTGCAGCCGCGTTGCCAACCGAGGCGCCAAGAAATCAATTACTCACTTCTAATCAGCTTGTCTGCTCCTCTTCTCTCACTGCTCCGCCGGCTCTGGCTACAAACCGCCACAATTTCCCCGTCGGCGTCCTTTTCTTTCACAGCAAGTGGCCGCGCGCTCGCCCGGCACAGTGAGCGCGGCCGTGACCCACAAATACATTGGCGCAATCATGGTATCGTGATTAATTGTCGGTCCAGATTATTAAAGATGATGGAACCCCTGCAGCGTGGCAGCACTGGTAAAACAATTTAGCACGTCATTTTTTCGACACATTGTAGTGGCTAACTAGGTTTAACGTCAATTGGTGTTTAAACTTTCGACACTTCCGAAAATTATACCAGCTGCACTCCATATGGTTCCTATTGATAGCACAGAACTGTGTGTGTCTAAGTGTGGAGGATTTAAACGTTTACAAAAGTCTAAAATTTGTACACCAAGCAAGTGTGCAACTTGAGTTAAACAAAATGTAAAATCAACACTTGCACACGTTGGGGTGCAAATTATGCACACTCGTTCTATCAGTGAGCACAACCATGAGCCAGCGGAGCCGAGACTGAGAGAGACTTAATCAAAGTTACGGCGTAGGCTGGCCCAGCAGACCATGACCCTCTTGCTCTCCCCTCCCGCTCTCTAGCACACACACACACACACACACACACACACACACACACACACACACAGAGAGAGAGAAAGACGCACCTGAGATGTGGCTGGTGAGGAGATAGAAGGCCAAGGCCAGCGAGAGAGCGGCACGCGTCAAAGCTATGGAAATGCGGGCCAGCGGACCAGACGTGGCAGGAGGGGACGTGAGACGCGAAAATATTCAAATAACGCGCGCTTGGCTCGGCAGCGACGGCGGCGGCAGCTTGACATCGCACCGCCGCCGCTGTGCTGTGATGAGACGTCGAGGGGGCTGCGGGCTGCTCAATGGCCACTGCTCGGCGGGGCCTGGCCGGGCTTGGCCTGGCTGACAATGTCAGGTGAGCTCATGAGATGGCGCGCCGGCGTCGTCGGCCTCTCCCAGGGCTTCCCTCTGCGCGCTTGGCGGCGGAAAGTGGGTGAAGGACGGTGCGGGCCATCACCATGGAGTGGGCCGCCCCGGGCCACCATGATGCACTGGAGAAGGAGAAGGGTAGGAGGAGCAGGGGGAGATCCGAGGGGTCCGTCACTCTTGTTAGTCACTGTACACATGAAAATTCCGTCACATTTTTAGTCATTTTCAGTCATTTTTAGTCTTTTTCAGTCATTCAGTCAATTTTTGGTCATTCAGTCAATTTTTGGTCATTCCGTCACATTTCAGTCATTTTTATTCGTTTTTAGTCAGATTCAGTCACTTACAGTCATTTATTCAATCATTTTCAGTCATTTTTAGTCCTTTTTAGTCAATTTCAGTCATTTCCAGTCGCTACAATTCTCACCTCTTCCCCACCTTATTGATCATCGTGGATGCACTCGGTTAGGACGCATCTTATTTCTCTAGTTTCGTTCATCGCGCCATCTAGAGGGGGTCGAACAGAACGCCGAACGTGAACGTGAACGTGAATAATCATCATTCATTTTCATTCATTTTCAGTCATTTTTAAGTCAATTTCAGTCATTTTTAGTCAATTTCAGTCATTTTTAGTCAATTTCAGTCATCTTCAGTCATTTTTAGTCATTTTCAGTCACATTTAGTCAATTTCAGTCATTTTTAGTCAAAAACAGTCATTTTTAGTTAAAGCAGTCATTTTTAATCAATTTCTCCTTTTTTTGTCATTTTTAGTCATTCACTCAATTTTTAGTCACTTTTAGTCATTTATACTGATTTTTAATCATCAGTCACTGTACACGAAAAGTCGGAGTGACGGACCCCTCGGGGAGATCTCGTTTGACGCGTCGTCATCGTGAGATGTGGGGGCCAAAGGGCTCACCACCTCGCTCGACTGCTCACCGCCGCAGCATATCAGACCGCTGGTGAGTGGGTCCTTATCCCTGGCGAGTTCCCCGGAGCACAACATCCAGCAGGGCTGACTGTGTGTCTCTGTTGGATATCGGCGCCCGCATTCCTGCGGCGCAGACAGATGTGGAAGGGGGGAGGCCTGTCCTAGCTGGCACGTAGCGAGGGAGCGGTGGATCCTGCTACTCCCGCGGGGTCGGACTCTGACACTCTCTCTCTCTCTCTCTCTCTCTCTCTCTCTCTCTCTCTATCTCTATCTCTCTCGAAAGAACATCTGAAAGTGGTCCCTGTGAATCCTCCCCTTTTAAACCCGATAAGCGGAACTATAAATCCTAGTGCAGCAAGCGACAAGAAGTGTAATTGAGTAATCCAGAAACCGTGACATTGGTAGGAAACATCAGGATGTCGGGTTACGGATTAAAGTCCTGTTTCCAAACCTCTTAGGCCTAACCTCACTTCTACATTCAAATCTTCAAAACTACCAAGGAAAGTTCACCGGAATGGACTTTGCAGCAGCAGCCTCTCCATCTCTAACAACAAGATCAAAGGAAATAGTGAAAATGGAAACCCTGATCCTCCTGCTTCAGCCCCAACGCAGAATCCTTCAACCTCAACTTCTGCTGAAGGAATCGTTGCTAATTCTCAGGTAAAGAAACAACAACAATCGAAGAAAATGCAAAACTTCTCTCTCAACAAAATTAATATGGTAGGAGGTGATATTTTGAATTTGCTAGCTGACACTCCAGAAAATGTAGCAATCGCTCATTGCATCGCTAAAGACTGTCTCCTGTCTGACGGAATAGCACATAACTCAAAGAAAAGTATAATCTCAACAGAGAGGAAATAAAGCAACAGGATCGAACAGGATCCTAAAATTGGAGATATCATTTCCACAAAAAACTCTAGATGGTAAATACATTCTCCATCTCATCACTAAAGAGAAATCTGGGATCCCACCAAATTGGAGTGATGTAAAGAAAACAATCCAAAACATCCCTTCAATTTGTGATAATCTGCAAATCAAGTCACTTATACTTCCCAAAATTGCTACTGGTCTAGACCGTAAACCATGGAAGAAAGTGATAAAAGTACTTAAAAGTACTTTTCTATTCTCGGATGTAGAAGTGAACCAGAAAATAATGAATCCATAAGAAATGAGTCTAAGCTAAGAAAGAGATCTCGCTCTGTCTCACCTAACTCCCGAATATCTCAACTGAAATTTCTCAGAAGTACTGGACATGGACAAATCATGAATATTGGTGAAATGTCAGATAACAATGAATCAGTCATCTCTAATAAGTCTGATGCTAGCCAGGGACTCAATCAAACAAAACAGCCCTCAAATAAGGAAAGGAAAATGAAGCCTTCAATAGGATTCAACTTTGATAATACAGACCTCACTACAGTCTCTTTCAAGAACTTCTTAGCTCAAGCAAGGGGACGCCAAAACTCAAAAAAGTGGCAAAAACCTTATCAATTCCTGTACCATGACTTGTTGAAAAATTAGAAGAAGCCATTCGTATATTTGGCCCAGGAAACCAAAGGGAAAACCTTAAACCTTAGAAGAAAACTAGAAAGATGTTATGATTCTTTTAGCGAATAGTTTTACTGTACGTAGAATTTAAGACGAATAAACTAAATATTTTCCCAACATAAAAACATGTTAACCCAATAAATCTATATAACCTCTTCCACAGACTTAACCACAAATTTGTAACTTCTAAACATATTGTCAACCTAAAATGACAGTTAGACACAAACATAAAACCTGCATGGCTTTTCCATGTAACAATATTAACACCCCCCTTTTGACCCAATTGTGAACTCAATCCAACCCAATTAATCCTGTCATAAACGCACACACACTCACACTCCCCCCGCTCTCTCTCTCTCTCTCTCTCTCTCTCTCTCTCTCTCTCTCTCTCTCTCTCACACACACACACTCACTCACTCACACTTACTCACTGCCACAAC